TCCTGCTTCTGCTATTGAACCAGGAGGGGTAGCCCCTTCCCAGACCGAATTTTCTGTTAGTAACATAGATACTTCATTCCCTTCTTTTCAGACAAACTCAATTCGTCTTGAAAACTCCGTATCTGAACACCAGAGTAATAAAAAGGATGATGTGCTAGTGTTGAGAAACAAGCCTGCTAGGTGGCACGAGCAGTTGCAGTGTTGGTGCTTGAACTTTCATGGCAGAGTGACGGTAGCTTCGGTTAAAAACTTTCAGCTGGCTGCTTTTCCAGAAAACGGACATGCTGGACCACAAGAGGATGAGGTCATCCTCCAATTTGGAAAAGTTGGGAAGGACTTGTTTACAATGGATTACCGGTACCCTATCTCAGCATTTCAGGCATTTGCAATCTGCCTCAGCAGCTTTGCAACCACTGTTGCTTGCGAATGATGCAAGTTTGAATTAACTTTAGACAGGTATTCTTGAAAGCTCAATATTATAAAATTAGAATATAGATTGGACAACCTCATTGGTAGCTTATTGAGTAATGCATGTTACATGTATGGTCACTGCAATAAGAATTAGTTTAGATTAGTTTTTCAGCTTTTCTTCTGTTCTAATAATCATATATGTTTGATAACTATGCTTAAAATCCTTACTGAGTCCATTTAGAATACTTGACATTGATAATCACATTTCCTTTCAAATGTTGATTCTGTGCGTAGGTTTGTTGATTGTTAACTGACACGATCGATTCTTTGTTCGTGCCAGCTTTCATTCAGGCGTATAGGGGGTTCTGTTACAAGAATGATTGTTAACTGTCATCATTGGAAATTTGGATAGTCATGAATCATGATGATCTGAATTACAAGGACGGTGCTGCAAATAGGGGGGGTTCTGTTTGTTTATATGGCATCAGTTTTTACTTCTGGGAAGATCACAAGAAATTGAAATGCCACCTGCAACTTCTATTATATCTCCTCCTGTTTGTATCTAGCTCCCTGTTGTGTGCGTATACTTTTTATTCTTCCGTAGTTTTGCCTTTCATTTGTATCTAGATTCCCATATACAACAGTTGTTACATGCACGCCTACAAGTGCAAAAGACATGCCTTCTCCTGGAATTGACGAGGTCACGTTATCAATAACGGAAATAATGTTTACACACATTTATTGAATCCTTATAAAATCCAAGTCTGTAGTTTCCTGACCTTGTCGTATAGTAATTTTATCAATAATAGGACATGATCAAAAGTAGGCAGAACCATGCTTAACATAAAACAGGCAGTAATCTAAATTATAAACTAAAAAACTATGGAAGTGCTAGAAAATCATCAACCAAATGGCCTCAAATTCAGGGATGTTTGATGTTGGAAGAGAAATCACTTTGTATTTTTTCTCCCCTTAATATATGTAAAAAGCTTTTAAAAATAATTGATTCAATAACTTTTTCGGATACGAAATAAATTAAGAGAACTATTATTTGACAAATTTAAAAGTGACTAATGAAAGTGTCACACGGCCATTTATGAGAAAATAAGGATAAAGAACATTCACAACCATTCCTCGTGCAAAAATGACCATTGTAACTCACAAGTTTTAATTCATATTAAACATTCTCAGGCACAATAAGGCAATTTTGATATGGGTATTTCTTATGGAGTCTTTGATAGATAGATATGCAAGTAGCGCATCACTTTAAAGCCTCTTCACTCGGTAATCTTTACTAATCCATCTTTAAAGTCTTCCATCTGACTTTATTCTCTGCATAAAGACCACAAGCAGATAACATTCGATTCATTTAAACACATTAAAGGACTGTTGTCAAATGATTGGTGTTCTAATTGCAAGTAATCCTGCAAATTATACTCTAGCTGAACAAAACACATGTACATTACACTATTAAAACAGAAAAATGAACCTGATATTCAGCTCAGCTAGTGTTATCCTAATAGAATTTCAATAAGATTAAGTACACGATTTAAAGTTGCCGACAAAACAACACAAAAATGACATTAATGAAACACATCAATAAAAAGAGGTGTGAACGGGTGGATCCATCGATTAACTATCGCTGAACAAAATGCCTGTATTCGAGTGATAAGCAGGACTGATTAAAAGAGCTGTCGAATTGCAAAAATATTTTATCCCTTTGTGCCTCATAATAGTAATTCAAATTTGCTCAATGTCAAGAAATACACTCACTGAAGCAGACAAAAATTGATGGGTACATTTCTTAAACCACTGAATTGTCATTCTCTAACACTGGGATTCTTTGAAACTAAGATAATAATAATGTAAAGAAAAGGCACGAATAATTAAACTTCAAAGCCATGTTTAGCTGGGAGCATCATTCATAAAACCTTCTTTGCGACCTTCAAAGCCGGGCCGCATTAGCTTTTTCTCTCTTTTAGCAATTTTCCGCATTTTCTTCTCATGAATCCTCGCAGCTATATTCTCTGACCTTTTCTGCTGCTTCCCTGCCTTCAACTGGTCTCTTGTTTGAATTCTATCCTTCCACTTTTCTGCATTCTTCTGCTGCTTCTTCTTCTCCTTATTAATGCTTTTCTGCAACAGTTTGGGATCATCATGGACCTTAACCCCCGTAGCTCTATCCATCGCCGCCTTCCACGATTGCTTCTTGGCAAAAGCTTCAGCCTTATCAGGATCATTCTTCTTCACTTCCTCCAACTTCTTAGCCCTTTCAAGTTCCTTATGCTTTGAAAGTTTCCTTTTCTTCTTCCCCTGCATGTCCTCACTCTGAAGTTTAACATGGCCAAACACAAGCTCCTTCGAGGCCTCGGCGGCATCCTTCTTCAATTTCTCCGCCACCGAGTCATCCAGCACAGGCTTACCTTCCTCAGTTTCATCAGCCCTCTTGCGTTTATTGTCCTTATACCCTCTCCTAGCATTTCTTTCATCTCTCTTCCTCTCCGGATTCCCGTTGTTACGACCTGCCCGAAACTCTTCGAGTTTGCGATGAAGCCTTTGCCGAAGTTCTTCATAAGTCACAGACCTATCATCTCCCTCAACACCAGACATGATAGGCTTAGCTGCTGCACCCTGCTCTTCATCACTGTCATTCCCCTTTTGTTTTTCCAAATTTTCCTTGAGAAGGTCAAGTGTAGTTGCAGAGGGTTTTTCAGGGTCCAAACGGTCCCTCCGAGACTTCTTGATATTTTCCTTGGTTTCTTTCTTTGCCACCGCTCTTGCAGCCTTGCTGAGACCCTGAAACCATGGCTTCTCCTTATCATCGGTTGGTAGATAAAACTTCGCCGGAATCAACTCAATCAACTTGTCAAAGAAAAGGGTGTGCTCGTGAATCACAGAATCCAAATCTACAACGCCAACGTCAACCTCAGAGACAACACTCTTTTGCTTTTTCTTCCTCATCTTCGTCACTGCGTAACCCTAAAACCCTACTGTAGCAGCATCAAGCAATAAAAAATAATTAAAAAAACTAATGAAAACCTTACATTTTATCAATTTAACTATTTTTTATAGCACAAATAAACCGCATCAACAAACATGAGATTGAAATTCAAAAGGCGAAAATTTCTGAAACAGGAATGCACACATTAAGGGGAACTTACCTCTTCTCGGTCGTCAAACAAAAATTCAGGATGTTGTGTGTTTACGCTTCGTGCCCCAAAATTAGGTTTCTTGGTAAGCACCTTTCTACTTTATTATTTCGTGTCAAGAATTGGGCCACTGGCCCAAAATGTTGGATCAGGCCCACACTGGTTCATGGGCCGACTTGATATGGAGTACACAGATAAATAACGGGTCGGGTTATATTTTTTTGTTAGCCAACCAGAAATATTTAAAGATTTTTAAATTTTATTCATTTATTTATAAGAACATCAGTTTGATTTTTCGTTGATAGAAAAAAAAAACAAGTTATATTGATAGGTTTTTTTTTTTGTATAAAAAGACTCTGGGAGTGTTTATTTCAGGGTATAATGTTGTATTCTCTTTTAAAAATATTTTTATATCAAAAAATGTTATTTCTAAAAACATGTTTAGTTGATATTTATTATTTTTTAAAAATATTTTTATTTAATTAAAAATTGAAAAATAAAATGTGAAGAAAGAAATGTAGAATAATAAGTGAGAAGAGAGTGTTATTAGAAAAAAAGTATTTTTCATTTCGATCAAAATCTAATATACTAACCTTTTACCATGATAATAAGAAACATATTAAAAATAAGAGTTTTATATTCTTAGGAATAAAAGATACTCAAAAATATCTTTTTCATAACCTTCCAATAAATATGAGAGTAAATATTTAGATATTCTAACATTCAACGGATATAATATTTAAATCTATATTCTAACTAACTCACAAGAGTAACCGGGAAGGTTTAGAATTTAGATAGTATATTTGAAATAATAAGCTCCAACTTTAACTTCATTATGATCCAGCTAAAAAAATACATTATAGTTCGAAGAGTATTTCAAATTCAAGATAGATGGAATAAGTGGAAATTTAAAGAGTTATTTTATGAATTGTAATCTTTAGGATGTTATTTAGATTTATAGATTTTATCAATTTGTTTAATTATCTTTTAGGATTTCTTTTTTAAATTAAGGTAGTTATAGTATTCAAATTTCGTATTATAGTTTTGTTGTATATATAAAACCAAAAATAAAATCCTAGTATTTATTTTATTTAAGATCCTTGTACATGTGCATAATTCTTTTTTGTGTGTAAAGGTATTTTTTCCATCAAAAAACACCACATCTAAGGGGTGTTAAAGAACAAAAGAAAACGAATCAAAAATTAACATTTACTCATTTTTATAAGAAATACTACAAATATATTTAAATTTAAATTATTTTGCAGCTGTGGAGAGATGTATTTGTTTCCGTCCCAATTCATGGGAAAGGATAGATTGTTGTTCAAATTATGTAACATCACGAGCCTGGATTTTGGTGGGCCACCAATGGGCCAGGAAGACCCGCTGGAGCGGAGATTGCGGAGCAGCTGGCCCGCTAACGCAAGTCCAGCTGGCCTGTCTACAACTTTCACTTAGATTTTTGTTCATATTTTGCACAAGTTCTTACACAAACCTCGAACTTTTCACATTAATTTCATTTGATAAAGCTTCACATCAATTTTTGGTTAACGTTAAAATTAAATACTTAGAGTAGTAAAACATTAATTTATCTCCTCGATCTACTCACCATTACTAAGAAATGTCAAGTCATACTATACTTTTTTATATACGAACGATTTTCGAGGCACGGAGTCACGGACATTCATTCTATAAACAAATGAACCATATAAATTTGTTATACCAGACCCAACTACATTTGATAGTTTGCTGAAAATAATTTCTAAAAGAAAAACATGGATCTTTGAGTGTTTCATTCCCACGCATTCTGAAGGAAAATGTCACACACTATGGCAATCACAATCAGGAGCCATTTCATTTTTCATTTATTTATTCCCAACTGCAACAAGTCTTGAAACTGATAAACATAACCAACTAGAAGTTGAATAATGATATAGCAAAACTTAAAAAGAAAATCAGAAAGTCTAAAGGAAAAGTCTGTATAAAATTTTGCATAATTCACATGATTAAAAATACAAAGGAGGAAAATTATGTTGATTGTTACACAAGATAGAGAATAAACCTTTGATCATTGGGAAAGATACAATATCTTCTACCACTGGTGCCAATGGCTTTACCAACTAGAAGTAAGACAATGAATCAGCAGCATTTTAGCAGCTTCACCAATGCTTGTGAAAAATAATTGGTGTTATATTGCAATTCTTTTAATTTTTTTTTAATATTCTTGACACATTCTATCTATAAGAGTCCTTCTTTGACACCTTTGATTGTATGTGCCTATCCCCAGCCATGTTCTTCTTTCTCCTTGGTGCATCCACACAAGTTTCCACCAATGGGCCAGACCAGGTTTGGATGTCTGCTTTAGGATATGACAAGTTTGTGGAACTAAATGGAATGTCAGGAGGATCGAAAATCGGATCCATGTGATGTGAAGAACCCAAAGGATAGCCTAGAGCTCCATCTTCATGAGGAGGAGGAAACTTCTCACTCTTACTCTTAGCATTTGCATGTGTTACCAATCGCCATTTCTGTAATAAGAGTTTAACCCATTACTACAATCAACCCCATGTATATAATAGCTATGCCACTTTATGAAAATCGGCAAAAACCTTTATTTAATAGTTATATGTATGTACCAAGTGCTGATCATGTAAGCTACAATTATAAGTTTTTTCATTTGATCATTGGGAAGAGATGAGAAGGGGTCGGGAAATGCGTTTTAAGAGTATTTGAGACAAATGGAGGAAACTGAAGATCAAACTTTTCAGCAATTGCTTTTATCTAGGAGGAATAAAGTATTCACCAAGACAAGACAAAAAGTATTAGTGTAAATGAATGAGGTGCCGTATCAGACTTACATCGATATTTGCTTGCAACTCGGCATTGGCATCTGCAACGGGAATTCTCCGGCCACCTCGATCACGTGGACGTGATTTCTTGACGCCAGCAGCATTAGCTTTGCCAGCAACTCTCAATCTACAGTCATGAAACATTTAAATTAATGTATTGAAATGTGTGAAATGTATGGATCTTCGGTATTTTCTTTCAGAAAAATCTTCTGCTCCCTCCAGTATCATTGAGAGGTAGAGAACAAGAGAAAGTTTACAAGGAGAAGGGTAACTAAATAAACCTGTTCAACTTATACACATGCCTCACAACTTCCTCTATCAAATATAGAAAAGGAAAGAAAAAGTGAATTGAATGGTAAAACAACCTAACATAACAATTTAGTCAATTTTTTATGTAAATAAGAATTCATAAGATAGTTGAGAGTTTCATTTAAGAGTTCAGAAGAAATTCATCTTCAGTACTTAAAAATATTGATTAAATCATTGTTCAGATGTCAAAAGAAATTTAAGTTATCCACCTTCTAGCTTCTTCATCCCGTAGCTTTGTATCCATCTCCTTGCTGGGAGGATATTTCGGAAGGCTAGAGGGTTCACAGGCATAAGGTTTTGTTGTAAAGAACTGCAAAAGAGAAGACAAGTAGATGTAGCAATCCTATATGCATATTTAAAAATAAAATAGCCGAAATAAGTGATATCAAAGGATAAATTTAGTGATTAAATTGTTATCTTACTTCACTATTCAATGCAGCTGTGGCAGTTTGACGTTCTGCTGGATCGATTGCAAGAAGGGTCTCAATTAGTGGCAAGGATGACGCTGGGAAATTCTTAAATGTCTCTGCTATGCACCGCTTGTATGAATGTCGGGGCTTAAAAATGGTAGCATGTGGCAACTTTGACTTTTTCCAATATTCATCAGATGGAGAACCACAGAGCTTAAATATCTTATGTAGCTGCTCCACCTATGAAGCACCGTGGATATATCTCAGCAAAATCAGAAGCACAAACCTCTCAACTAGAGCATCAAAACCTTGCACCATTGACTAGTAAAATGAACAAATCTCGGAATAAATTACATAGACAACCCTTTGAGATTTCGTGATTAGAGACAAACACCCCCTACTTTTTTATTCCTACACTAAGTCTCTAAATTATTTGAAAAACATTACACTAGTACCCTTTAGATATTACATCAACTCTCTTAATTGTTTAGGAGACATTACATTGTGTTTGTGTCTCCCTGTAAGGGAAGTTTCTGTAAACGTTATAATTGCGAGGGAGTTGTGTGCAATCTCACAAAAGGGTGTCAGTGTAATATATTCTACATCTTATGTTCTTGAAAGGTGCTGCTAGAGAAATTACAAGATGAGATTAATCATTTAAGGATACCTCAGTTCGACCAGGCATAATAGGTTTGCCAGCCAACAATTCAGCAAGAATGCAGCCAGCACTCCATAGGTCTACTCCTACACCATAATCAGTGGCTCCAAGGAGAAGTTCTGGAGGTCTATACCACAAAGTAACCACCCTGCTGGTCATGGGGTGCTTCTGATTGGGATCAAAGAAAGAAGCTAATCCAAAATCAGCAATCCTAAGAACTCCTTCACTGTCAATAAGAAGGTTTGACCCCTTTATATCACGATGCAGCACATGACGGTTGTGACAGTGTTCCAGTCCAGAAAGTAGCTGATGCATGTAACATTTAACCTAAAATACCCAGATATAATCAGCAAATGAAGTTCCGAATCCAGAAACAAAAGATTTTTTTTAAATCATATGAAGTTCAACCAACCTAGTTCTAGATTTTACCTTTAGCAAGATAAATAAGTAAATACCTGAGACTCTGTGAACTTAATTGTGGGGCTTGTAGCAAGTCCAGCCAAATCATGATCCATGTATTCAAACACAAGGTACAAACTGCACGACATCCTTGAAGTCACTAAACCTTCTAGTTTGATAACATTGGGATGATCCAGATGGCGTAGAATGAGAATCTCTCTGGCCATGAATTTCACACTCTCGGGCTCTAAATTGTCAAAGCGAACCTTCTTTAGAGCTACAATTTTCCCTGTCATAGTATCCTTTGCTTTGTAAACATTGCTATATGTACCTTGTCCAATCTGATTGAAAAATAGTCCAGAAGCCAGTTAGAGACCAAATTTTTGTTAACTTTGCAAGCACAGAATAGAAGTAGACATTTCAATGGAAGCGTTTTCAATTAATAACTTCCAAGATAACAACAGAAAGCCCAAAATCACAATGCCTAAACTTCATATCACTAATTTTAGATGTTGCTTACATATGAAAACAGAACAACGTAAGCAACAAGTCCTTCAAACATGAAATCAAGAAAACACATGCTTAAACTGACAAAGAAATCAAACAAGACATTAACTGCCTTACCTTATTAAGCTTCTCAAAAGTGTCAGCTCTTCTAGGGACCAATCCATTTATAGCTTCCCCAGCAACCTTGGAGAGCCAAGAGGGCCACCCTGCAGCCACTTGCTCGCCATGTACATGGTTAGGTGGATTGCTTAACCTCGGATTCGGCTTCGAAGATCGCCTTCTCTCCCCTTTCGGCCTCTTGCTCTTCTCCTCCTCTCGACCCTCCTTCACATTCCCACCATTCTGAACCACAACCTCTTCTGCTCTTGGAACATCTACTTCCTCTTTCCTCTTTGATGCTTCTTTCCCAAACACACACCCCATGTTTCAAAATACTCATTTACTCAACCCCTTCTTTTCTCCTTCTTCTTCTTTTTCCACCTCCTCCTCACATTCCCTCACTTGCCACAACCACATTTTCCCTCATTTCTCTTGCAATTCAAACACCATAATACATCAGAATCAAACCCTAATAATAGTTTCCCCCGCCAATCTAGAAAAGCTGAAAGGGGGTTTTGAGTTTTAACCAAAGGAAGGTGCAAATGTTAATTCAAAAGACCCTAACTTTTCCAGACAAAAGTGAGAGTGCAATGATTTGGTCTCACCCCACAAGTTGTAATGCAGTCAAACAAAATGAGCTTATATCAGTCAGACATCCACAACACAAAAGAAAAAGCAGGAAGGAAAAAAAAAATAGTAAAATATGACTAGCTTTTTCCCCCCTTGGAAGTTCCTTTGTTCTTATTGTTCGTCCTATGTTTTCTGAAGAGGGTTTTTTAATTTTAAACCTTTCGGAGTGTGGATATGGATATTAAGGAAGATCAAAGTTGAAAAAAGTTACAGTTCTAGGAGTTTGGAGCATCCCAGATTCAAAGATGAATGTACACAAAATAATGTCTTGGAAACTAGAAAGATAAAATAATAACGTGGGGTGGATCTGCTATGGATTTTCTTCCCACTTCCACTCTCACATACAATGTTGTAGTATTTACTTTTACATACAAGTCAGTTTCGGATTTTTGCAGCACTGGGTTTGTATCCACTAAGGAAACTTCCATTGAAAATATGTAGAGAAAAATCAATGACACGTGCCTTGGAGATGTTTAATTCTTTATTATGGTGATCAACGATCGTAGTGAAAATTTTATTTAATTTTAACATAAAAAAAAAAAAAAAAATATATATATATGTATATAT